TGGGGCTGCTCCCGCAGGGAAGGCTCCTCCCATTTCTAAGCACTGAGGCGCCCCTGGGAGAAGCTGGGCCTCTCCCTGTCCTTCCCCGAGGCCCTCAAGCTGTCACTTTATGGATTGTCTGTGCAATTACGTCCACCAAAGACCTGTGTTGGGGGTCCAGGGAGAGGCCTGGGGGACCCCCTGAAGCATTATTGCCTCACTTGGTGTCACCTGCTTCTCCCCTATTGGGGCTAAGGAAGGAGGTAGGCGACCCCCTGAAGGGGAGGCCCCCTTCTTACCCACCCCTTCCCTTTGGCACAGCTGCCCCTGGCAGGGGTGGGGTGGGGTGGTTTGGGGTTTGGGCATCCCCAGTCACTGCCTCAGCTCATCTGGGAGGCTGTGCCCTTGACATTAAAATAAAAACCCACCAGTGCTGTCTGTGGCGTCTGCGTGTTGATGGGGTGTGTGGGGCAGAGGTCTTGGGGCAGGCAGACCAACAGCCAGTGGGGCCTGGGGCAGACCTGCTTGGCAAGAGGACACCTTCTTTGTCCTTGGCTTTTGCTGTGAGCTGTGGGGCACCAGTCATCTTGGGCATCTATCTGGACAGCTCTGCCACGTGCATCTACAGTTCTTGGTTATAAGTAACAGAAAACCCACCCTAAACTTCCTTCAGAAGAACAGGAATGTTAGGCTCTTGTAATTACTCAACCAGGGGTAGCTTCAGGCAAGGTCTGATCCAGGTGCAAACATGATCAGGACTTAGCTCCCCAGTCAGCTTTCTATCCTGTTTTCTTGGTGTTTTGCAGTTGGGGGGGGGGGGGGGGGGGGGGGGTCTTCTTTTGGCCCTGAGATGGGTTCCAGGTGCTCCAGGGGCTAGTGGGAGGTACTGTTGAAAGCTTTGTTTCTGTCGTAAATGCTGCGGAGACAGGCGAGTTTGTACATACATCCGTGCATTAGAATATGCCATATTATTCACCCATTTAAGAGGACAACTCAATGGTTTTTAGGGTATTCGAGCTGTGCAACCATCTCCCACAATCTAATTTTAGAACAGTTTTGTCACCTCCCAAAGTAGTCACTCCCCACTTCCCCTCAACACCCCAGCCCTGGGCAACCTCTCATCGAAGCCCTGTCTCTATCGATTTGCCTACAGACTTTGATACACACTTTGAATTAGACTTTCAAATAATCACTAGTAAATATTGCACTGACATCGTCTCAGAAGCAGGATATGAACAGGTCCCCTGTCATCCTATGTCACAAGCACTGAGTATTCTCATTTTGAAACCTATGCTAATCTGATGGATGAGAAATAGTTTCTCATTTCCAATTTCCTTATCCTTCATCCCACAGGAGTCACAACCACTGTAAGAAAGGTGTCCCGGGCCTTTCATGGTGAAGGAGCTGGGCTCACAGGTTGGGAATGACACCAAGAGGGAGCCTGGTGGGTTGGAAAGGGCTGGGGCTCAGAAGAACGAGCCGGCTCTGGGTGGTCCCACCTCTGCTCCGTGTGGTCACTGCAGGGAGAGACAAATGTGACCTGGGCTGAAGGCTGCACAGGGTGTGGACGGCAGAGTGCCGGGAGGCTGGAGGCAGGGAGTGGGGAGGCCCGAGGCAGGGAGGGGGGAGGCCGGAGGCAGGGAGTGGGGAGGCTGGAGGCAGGGAGTGGGGAGGCCGGAGGCAGGGAGGGTACTGGCAGTCTGCTTCTCCACCTTGACTTTGACCTCTGACCAGCCCAGCCTTACATGGTGGCTGTCTCTTTCAGGACGGCCGCAAACGGCCTCTAATTCTACTCTTAGAATGGCCTTGGAGAGCAGCTCGGGCTCCTGGCTCTGTTGACATGCGGATGCCCCCGAGAGGGCTTGACAGCCCTGAACACTTCCCAAGCTCACTAACCTCCGTTAGAACTGAAATCGGGGTGCCGCTTTCTGCCTGTACTCTGCACAACCACCCTTTGACTCTGGGCAATTTGCCCCTCACTGTTCCCTGGGGCTCTCTGAGAATATTCCACAGTGATGCAGTAGGGATTGCAAACTGGCTGCCTCTGCCTGGCATACAGAGACTTTTTTTGGTAGCACATGTTTTAAAATGAGAAAATGCATATAAAACTCTGGATGTTTGGCTTTTATTGATAAATTGCAAGGGCTGGCAGCCCTGGGACAGTCTCTATGCATGGCCTAATCAGCGGGAGCAGAAACATGTGGCCACAGAGACAGGGCCTCTGCTTTCTAGTTTGCCACAGTCCCCACCACTCCCTATCGCTCACGCCAGCTCTGTTCCATTTACTTCCCTGGACCCTCTAGTATTTGAGTTTGTAACTCCGATGTAAACAGTTTCCTTCCACATTTACGGCTGCACAAAAGTGGGGTTTGTAAAATGTCAAAGATGCTCCTTGAATCTTTTTTTGGTTACCAAATTTAAATTTAGTTTATATTTGTGAAAAGATAAACTTATGTGATTCAAAAGTCAAAGGATACAAAAGAATCCACAGTGTCCCCAGCCGGTTTGGATCAGTGAATAGAGTGTCAGCCTGAGGACTGAAATGTCCTGGGTTCGATTTCCAGTTAAGGGCACATGCCCGGGTTGCGGGCTTGATCCCTAGTAGGGGGCATGCAGGAGGCAGCCAATCAATGATTCTCTCTCATCATTGATGTTTCTATCTCTCTCCCCCTCTCCCTTCTTTCTGAAATCAATAAAGATATATATATTAAAAAAAAGAAAAAAAAAGAAAAAAAAAAGAAATCACAGTGAGAAATCTCCTTCCAGTGCCCTGGCCCTTTTGTTACCTGAGGCACCAATGGCAGCAGTCCTTGTGCAGTCTTTCAGGCATGTTTTATATGTAGTCAAACCAGTGTAATAATAGTAATAATAATATTTTCAAAATATCCACCTCATAGAATGTTAACGTTAGAAAAAAATCAGAAAAAAGGAAAAAAAGAAAGGAAAATCATGTGGGGCATTAGTCTCCATGGATAATTTGTTAGTTCACATTTTATGCATTGTCTTCCAGATTTTTCTTTTTTAAAAAAACATATTTTTATTGATTTCAGAGAGGGAGAGATAGAAACATCAATGATGAGAGAGAATCATTGATTGGCTGCCTCCTGCATGCCCCCCACTGGGGATCGAACCCACAACCTAGGCATATGCCCTGATCGGGAATTGAACTGTGACCTCCTGGTTCATAGGCTCAACCACTGAGCCACACTGGCTGGGCCAGATTTTTCTTTACTGATGGAGACTTTTAATGGAAATGGCATAAAACTGTAAACAGGTTATTACAGCCTGTCTTAAACTCAGAACTAGAATGTATGTCAATGACATTCCCATTGTATGGATATATTAGGATTTATTTAGACTGCTCTCTATTTTTGGCTACTTGCACTGTTGTCGGTTCCTGCTATTTTAAACAGTGCCGCATGAACATCCTTGTGCCTGCACCTTTGCTCACCTGTCCAAATATTTCCTTAGGATACGTTTCCTCCAAGTGGAATTAACAGCTACAGGATATGCCCACGCAAGCACATTTTAAAGGCTTTGATATATATGATCAAACTGCCCTTTAGAGCGATCCTATCATTTTATATGACTTGCGGCAGCATGGACAAGATCCAAGACGTGCTGTCTCCTTGAGAATGAAATGATGCGTCTCCCCCGAGGAGTGTCCTTGCTCGCGCGCCTGCTCGCTTCCCTGCAGAGCTGCTGGTGGTCCCGAGGGCCTCTCCCGCCCTGGAGTCTGGCTGCGGGAGGCCTGTGACCCATCGTGGGGCGGGAAGGAAGCCCCTCTCCCCCCCTCCATGCAGGGACAGGCTGGAGCATCTGCGAGGAGGAGGTGGAGTTCCCAGGAGAGGGGTGCGGCGAGGGCAGCGGGGCAGGGCCAGGAACCCCTGAGCCCAGCAGAACCTGGGAGCGGAGCAGCAGCAGGTCCAAATCCTGGCACTGCCCTTCCAGGTAGGCAGTGGGGACCGAGCCACTGGGGCTTGGGTCTCCCCTGCCTCTCAGTGAAGTGGGGCTAGAACAGCACCGCCTGGGAGAGGGGCGGTGCAGCAGGGCCCCGGCGAGGCGCCCGCACACTGGGAGCCGCCATCAGTCGCCGTTTGTTAAAAACTCAAGAGAAACGGGGTATCAGGATTGGCCCAGGTCTGCTCCCCACAGCCACCCGCGTCCGGGCAAGAGAGAGGGGCACGCTTCCCCGTCCCGGCAGCTGGCAGCGCAGGGCCCTCCTCCCAGCTCCTCCCGAGGGTCCCTCCTGGGCGGTGGGGACT